CCGCCCTCCGGAGGTCGGAATTTCAACATTACAAAAATAAAAATACCGACCTCTGGAGGTCGGAATTCCAAAACTAAAAAATTAAAAATACCGACCTCCGGAGGTCAGAAATTTCAAAAATACAAAAATAAAAATACCGACCTCCGTAGGTCAGAATCTCAAAAATAAAAAATAAGAATACCGACCTCCGGAGGTCAGAATCTCAAAAAATAAAAAATAAAAATACCGACCTCCAGAGGTCGGAATTTATATTAAATTAAAAATAAAAAAATTAACAAATACCGACATCCGGATGTCGGTATTCCAATATATGAGAAATAAATATTTTGACCTCAGGAAGTCAGAAATAATAAAAATAAAAAATTTCTGACTTAAAATAAAAACTGACCTCTCGAGGTCAATAAATACCGACCTCCAGAGGTTAGTATTGAATAGCGACCAAGATTTTTCTGACCTAAGTTGGGATGTCGGTTTTAGGTCGGTATTCGTAGGTCGGTATTCACTGTTTTTTTAGTAGTGTATCTACGACTCATAAAAGAATGATGCACCATCCCGGGGAACCGTAAAAAGGATAGTGGAACTTGATTTTAGATAATTATTTTCTCCCTGGCTATGGCTGTCACCTACAGCCCGTAGAAGCTTCTACGGTTCGTAATGACCCGTAGATACAGTTTGCAACCCAAAAACTTCGTTTCTTTCTTTTCCAAATTTTGAGGTGTTACATTTAAGTTCCACGTGTCCAAAGTTGAGTGGATTTACATTCTACCAGAGCCGTTAAAATGGGTTGGGCTAGCCTATATAAGCTTTAGAACTTTCCAGGTCAGGCCGGGTTGCGCATTATTTTGGCGGGTCAAAAGACAGTCCAATCCACAACTACATTGGCTATGGGCCGCGTTGAGCCAACCTATTTTTTTTAAAATAAAAATATATTTGGTTATAATTTAAATTTTAAAATTTTAACATAAATATCGACAAAATAAAATTACATGGTGTCTACTACTTGTAAACCAGGTGTCAAATCCAAAACAAAATAATTTTAATTATACTTATTAAATTTGACTTCAAGCAAAGATTTAGTTGTATTACTTAAATCTGTAATCATCATCGTTTTATGTAAATATTTTGGCTACAACAATACAAGAAAATAATTTTTATATTTGGATTTTGAACTTTGTAATATTTATATGCATTGTTTAAGACTTTAAGTTGAGACCCCTCTTGATATTTTTAGTATTTTGTTTTATTTAATTATTTTTAATTGAGAAAATTGTATAAAATAGCAAACTATTAATTCAAATTAAATGTTATAACCACAGTTTCATTTAATTCTAATCCGTAGCAAACACTACTTTGTCATTTGTCTCTCTCCCCAGAAATCTCGCTCGTCACTCTCCCTCGCCTCTCTCACTTTATACAAACACAAATGTATAAATTGTGTTTGTGTTTGTATAAAGCAAGAGAAAACTGTATATACAAATACATTACATATTTCTTTGTCCTATACACTCATAATTATACAATACAAATCTTTCCCTGCCCAGTTCTTTTTTGCCATTCTAGCTTTATACAAACACAAATTATACAAAATGCAATGTATAATTTGTGTTTTTATAAAGCGAGAGAGAGATTTGATATACAAATACAATTGTTTTAACTCGATTCAATTGTATACGAATTCAAATTTTATGCAGATATACAAACACGAAGAACCTATACATATACAAACGCAATTTTCATAGACACAGACGCCCGATTTATACAAATCAGATGCCTGTGATTTTATACAAATCAAAGATGCCTGCAATTTTTATACATATCTAATGCTCTATAGCAAACTTAATGGAGCGCAAATAGCAAAATTGTAGCTATAAAGCACTAATATAATTTTTATACTTGCTAAACCTAAAATTTACTCTTTTAATTTAGCCTATGGGTCGGCCCAACCTACATTGCTCAAGCCTTACAGGCTAGCAAACTTATTAGGGTCAGGATAAAAAGTCCTATTCATAAATGGGCTCTTAAAATCATTGCCTAGCCCTATCAAATCACCAATTGGGCCTAGCTGGCCCACTGGTCCTAACCCTTATTGACGACTCTACATTCTATCGTTAAGAAATATTTGATTAAAAGATATCAATAAAGTTAAAGGAAATTATGGAATAAAGTCTTTTTTATTTTGTTTTGTATTAATAAAATCATTCAACTTGTATTTTATATATCTAAAAAATTGTAATGACCCGGTTGGTCATTTTTGGAAATTTTTATAAAATTTCCATTTCATCCCTCTCCATATTGGCTCGAGTCTTTGTGGAATGAGTTTTGAAATTGGTTTCAAGTTTTGAGTTAAAAGTTGTGAATTTGGAGAATTTTGATATTTGAAAGGCTGAAGTTATTAAAAAAGTGATTTTTGGTGTCTTTTGTTGTTTCGAGTGTCGGAATGGAATTCCCTCGATTGCATTGGTCCCAAAATGTGGAAATAATGTCTTAGAGATTTGTTAGTTTCAGATGCGGAGTCTTTTGGAGATTTGAGATCCTGAGTTGGAAAATTGTGGAATTTTAGCCTTTGAATTGACTTTGGTTAATCTTCGGAGTTTGGATGCTCGGATCGAAATTCTTAGAGTTTCATTGGATTTGGAAGATGATTTTAGGTGTAGGTGAGGTCTTGGTTGAATTTTTAGAGGTCTTGAGCCTGATTTGGCACTTTTAGGCGTTATGTTCATTTCTTACGACTTTCACGAGTTTCGGGTCAAGGAGACTTTGAATTCTTGTTTTGATGGTTCCATTATGTCCGGAATGTCGAGTACAGTCAATTTGCATATAAGGTTTGTATGTATGGGATTCCGAACGAATCCCAACGATCCAGTTGGAGACTTAGAGATTTGCTTATTTTTGTTGTATGTGTTGCTGGTGCCAACTCTCTGCGTTCGTGAAGCTTGTAACCACTTTTGCAGAGAGAATTGTGGGGACCCTCGCGTTCGCGGAGGCTTGAACGCATTAGCGGAGGGTCAAGATGTTTGACCTCCACGTTCGCGGGAGCCATGCTGCATTCGCGGAGGGCCAATTCATTAAACCCCCTATCGCGGGCAAGGGTCCGCGTTTGCGGAGTGGACAGAATGTTTTCCAAAATTGGGATTAATGAAAAGGCAACGGGTTGATCTTAATACTTAGTGAGTTTGCCTTCTTGTGAGCTTTAATGTATTGATTGATGAAATGCTTTAATAGCATTTTTGTGGACTTGAATTGATTGAATTATTGTCTCTTCCTTGTGGTGTGAAATTACTTATTTGCATTGATTTCTATGCACCATTTGTCAGAGTAAAATTACTAAAATAGCCTTGATCATTCTTGGCTTGGCTCTTCTATATAGTAGGGAAAAAAAACTAGATAATGCAATAGCAAATCCATAACAAGAAAATGGAACTAACTTATAAAGAATATTGGAAGCACTATGTTTATGGTTGGTTCTCTTACATGTTGTGGCTAAAAGTTAAAACCTTGGCTCTCAATAATGGTGGTTCTTGAGTACAAAACACAACTAGATTACAAAATTAACAAATAAATTGTTAAAAAATACAAGAAAAAGAGATGAATTAATTGCTATATAAACTTTTGAAAGGAAAAGAATATATGTTCTTTATGGTGCTGTCACTACTTTCTGCAGCAGAGCTTTTCTCTAATCTCTACAGGCTGCCATATGATCTATTTGCAAGGATACCGCGATTCACACCTCCTTAGGCAGCTCGTAAGATCAAACAAATTCCACATATCACAATGGAAACTTCCTTCTTTCATGATTCAACATGTCACGGTTATCCTCCCTCCTAGTCAAATTTAGGAAACTCACCAATGTTAAGAAGTGTTCAGTTCCAGAAAAATCACTTTCTCGTGAATGGTTTTTGGCATACAAGTAGCCGTTGGTCGCTTCCATTCTGGAGGTCAATCACCCTAGCTTCCCAGCGGATTTGTGTGGCTAACATGCGTGCTTTCTCTATGGGACCCAATGTATCAGAAAGAATAATCCAACCCTATCAAGAATTCGTATTCAAATGTCAAAACATGTACAAACAGTAAGGAATCGTGGAAACATGAGTAACAACTAAAGGTGTTGAGTCAACTTGAACTGGAAAAATGAAGTGTACAGAGCACAGAATGAAAATAAAGTATTACCTCGGGTCGCAAAATACGATCCATTTCAAGAAGTAGTTCAAGCATACTGCAATCTTGTGAAGAAATGTGTGAAAGGAGTCCATTAGCATGGATCATATCATATGTTCGTGGATATGTAGGAAACGGTTCACACCTGCTCAATTTTGAAAAGCTGCTATCAGTAGAACCCCTATAGCATTTAACTTTAAAAGCACTAAACTCATGGTCCATCAATCAACTAAGCCTCATTTCCAAATTAGTAGATGTCGCGATAAATGAATCATCTATCCATTCAGCTCTATTCGAGCTTGTTTCATTTTAAATAATTTGTCTTCAGTATTGCTATACAAAAATAAGCTTCTAAGCTCATATTATGAAAGAAATAGTAAGGGAAAAGCAAGAAACAAGTATCGACAATCGTTATCCTGTTGAAGATAAAGTACAAACCTCAATTTTTTCTGCTTTCTCCTTTATCTTTAAGTTTATACTCACACATGCAATTTAAGTGATGTTTTATCTGAAGTAAAACATTTATGTTTTAGAAAAGATTGTAAATTGTAATTATTAATTTTGAAGTCATTAAACTTTAGGGATGCCAATAGATTTTAAATCACACGAGTACCAGGATTGTAAGACGGTTTTACAACCCTTCTCACTGGTTATAAAGATTGACATAACAAATATCTTCCTTTCATATCGTCTTGACCTCCCACTTTAGTTACCAAAACATACAGAAAGTCCATCAATCATCAACTCAAAGGATGGAGATGGCAAGCAAACTGAAAATAAAATAATTCATGCAACATGAACAAGAATAAATTATGATATGTTAAACAATGTGCTGTAAGTTTTTTCAACTATAATAATCTGCCTGAAAAGCTAATCAATAAGAAGAATTATCAGAATATTTCACCATCAATTATGAGAAGTAGAAGAATATAAATATCCATATTGCGTTGCTTTAGTTTGAATTATTATATATCTACAATATCCAAGTATAAATGTCTTTGCAAGTCTTGAAAATATAAACGATAATGGCTTACCAGTTATGTAGAATACCGGCAAAACCTCGATCAAGTATGAGAGGAAGTGTATTACGCGCCCCAAGAGGCACAACATTCATCACCCACACTGATTTACTTGCCTCCAACATAGCCGCATTTAAGCCCCCATAATGTGCATTCATGTCCATGACATTCCGCACCATATTGTATGGAGGCAATGGATCTTCTTCACCTGGCCTCTTTGGATGGTCAGAGAAAATCAAGGGCGACAACAAAGACCAATAATTTCTCAACGCTGATTTCCAAAATCCCGAATCCTCAAAGAAATCATCAGGATCGACTCCTGCCCAAGAGCAAAACACAGGCAAATGAGTGATTGCTAAAAGAAAGTGTACAAATAGCTGAAAAATTGGAGAATGAAGAAGTCACGTAAACCATTTTAACCGAAAATACTTGCCATGAATTTCAATATCAGTTGAGTTCAGAGGACCAGATCTGTCGTGAATCGGAACCCATCGGTTACTGCTTGTCCCAGAAATACAGTGTGCAAGCGGTTGGTAGTACAGTTGCATGTCCTCTCCTTTACAAATGGGTATACTAAGCTGTGAGCTACATCAAAACGCAAAAGCTCGTTATAGGAGGTAAGTGGAAAAAAAGAAATAATAGAAAAGTATAACTATATCTTGGAAATGGAGAATAAAAATGGAATACAAGTATATGATAGTTTGTCTTTTAACAAACGGAAGATTTTTCTAACAGGAAGGAGGTGGAGGACATATAAACTGCAGATACGTGAAACATTTCAAAGCCATCAATGTGCATATGAAACACGATTAGAACAAGGTAGTTTCCTAGAAAATTCATTTTCTGTATCTCCCTTTCGGAAAAGTCTAGGCGTGGAAGTTGTGCAGAAAAAGTTTCTTCCCTAAAGATCATCTATTATAATTAGGTATTTGTTTACCGAGTCAAGCTCTACAATGGATAATGCCTTTTCATCTAGATCAGTGATCAATATTCTTGACATGTTAGTTTATGAATTTAGTTAATTGAAACAAAAAAATTACTTCAAGGAAGTTACGAACATAAATAAAAGGAGTACCTACATGACCTCCTCCTCGATTGGCCTTACCTATAACATTGAGAATTTACTGTCTTCTGCCAGATGAAAGTCTCTTCCTGCTGTCCCAAAAGAGACCAACAAAGCTTTTTAGTGAACTCTTCCAAAGGAATAGACATGCTTCCCTTCTTCGCACTAGTAGAACTATCCTGCTGCTGCCGGGTTGTAGGTGAGGTTAAAATAAAATAACCTCCGGGCTTGAGCACACGATCAATTTCAATTAAAAACAATCCATCTGTTTTTTTTTTCAAACCATTGTTAGTTTTATGCTATTGAATTCACCATGTTCATGAATTAACAGAAGCTGAGATACAAATAGAATCTAGCCATATAGGCAACATCATCTAAGTTGTTACTCCTTCCGTTTCTATTTGTTTGTCTAGTTTCTATTTGCCACGGAGTTTAAGAAAGTAAAGAAGACTTTTGAATCTTGTGGTCTTGAACTAAACACACATAGAATGTACCAAAATGTCCTTTAATCTTATGGCCTTAAATATGTCACGTGGAAAGTTGGAATCAAAGAGTTGTCACAAAAAGGAAAAAGACAATCTTTTTGAAAAGGACTAAGCAGGAAAGTATGACTAACAAATTGAAGTAGAGGTGGTAATTAATATGTTTGAAGAAAAAAGGAGTACAACAATAATATGACGTTTTTTTTAGTAAAATAGAGAGGTCAAGAGAATGAACTATAGTATCAGAAGTGGTGAAGCAACTGAACTTGATCGCATAATAACATGCAAACTAAAGTGAAAATAACAGTTAGAGACATTGCATAGACCTAATGAAATACACGATAGATCAAATAACTCATACAAAGATGATGAGTAAACAGCTGGCTAACCACAGCTCCTCAAAAACATAGCAAAAGCAATACCTTTACTGTCCCAAATGATTCCACACTGAGCACAATGAACCATATCATAAGACAACGATGGAAATGGAAGCTGTTTCGAAATAAAGTTGCCTATGACTGCCGGAAGTCCTCTCTCAAGTGCAAACTGAACTTGGCTACCAGATGATTCATACTCTGCCACACAAAGAGCCATCAACTTCAGCGAAAGTAGGTGACCACCAAAGCTACCAAAACCGCAACCAATATCTAGTACAGTGCGCACCTGTTATTCAGACAAGAACAAAAATTCTTATTTTATTGAAGTGATAAAATGGTTAGACACCCAGTTCATGTTATTCTTAATAAACCAGCAAGGGAATGAAAAGTAGAACGCGATAATACGTTTATGGAAAAAATAACCAAGATTTACTTACACCAGCTTGAAGAAATTCTGCATCACTTCCAAGCCCAATCATCTCAGCAATAAGATGCGAGTGATCTTTGACACTATCAACCATCATTCCATCATCCGAGTGGAAAGCAATTTGGTTCTCTTCCAGTAACATTAATCTGGAAATATAAAATTAGAAAAGGGCCTATTATAAATCAGGCAATAATAGTTTAATGCAGCATCACCGCTAACAAAAAGAAGAGAAAATGTTCATCAAGTTCATTCAATTGACCATACCTTTTTGTCATGCTTCCAGAAGAAAGGAACTGATCTTTGGTTAGCCTCACATTTCCACTCCATATGATATCCCTACCTGCTGGCCAAGTCAGAGGAATCTTATAGTCCTTCGGAGGACGAACCAAACAATGTGGTTGTCCACGTGATAACTCGCAGTGTCGATCAAACTCCTCCCCATCTTTCAAACCAGTTAGCGTATTTGCAGATACATTATAACAAGGTACATAGTTCTCTCTTTCTTTCCCACAAAAACCAATATCCTTTATCCAATTGGCTCCAACAGAAAGGCTATTTAGATCTAAATAATCATTTCGCACTAGCTTCTTTAGCTTTCTATAACTTGTATAGACATCAGGGTTTGTAGAGGAGGCCACAGAGTCAAAGGTACTTGAATAAGATGATTCTAATAATGCTATTAGCCCAAAAACACTAACCAGGCACAAGACTAACCAGCTTACTGACGGTCTACGCCTGAACAGTATTGATAGTTTAGTAAACAAAGGGCTTCTCATATCCAAGTTTCCACCTCAAACCCAAGTGCTGAGAAGATCAAAATAGGTGCTAGTTACAACCTGAATCTCCAAGACAGCAAGTAACATCTCTCATATGTATCGCCCAACATCCAAACAATTCCAATTAACCTGAGTCAAACGACTATCGAATCTTCCTCAAGACCAGAAAAAAAAACCAATTCTTTGCAAAATAATCACAAAAATAGAAAAAGGACGAATACAGTTTTGATCCCACAAGTGTCCAATTCAGATCAGTAGAGTCACTCCTTGAAATAGACTTAAAACATCACAAATAACCAGTTCAGAAAATGACAATTCTAAAACAAGTATCACAATTTACTTAAAAGAATCTAAATCCAGCAACTACTCCCTCAGAAAAACCTGCAACAGAAAAACACCAAATTATACATAAGAAACAATCAGAAAACAACAACAATGCTTCAATTTTAAACTAGCCAAGGTAGACTAATCCTCCAAAAATGCTCTACTTTTGAAGGATCCGCCACACGCCCTTAAACACACTTTTGAAGAGTCGAAGCAACATACATATACATCAACTAAATTAGATCCATTTCAATACAATACGACAAATGGAGTCCTCTAAAAAAAAACACTATTCCGTCATTTCAACCTCCAATAACACATAATATCAATACAAAATAACAAACACAAACAGCAAATGCCTCAAATTCCAAATTTAGCAAATTATTTTATTTTAACCCCTTTCATTTAAAGCTCAATAATCTATTTATTTTCTAAAAAAAAAAAAAAAAAATTATACAGAAAAAAAACAAATTTGGGCAGAAAAATGAAGATTCCAAAATTTCAGCAATTAAAATTAAGATCTCAAACGCAGATCAGATCCACATATTATTGCAAAAACAAAAACATCATTATAACATATACAAGATTAACCAAAAAAAAAAAACCATTCTGGCCTCTCCATGACAAAGGGTTTTTGGATTACCTGATTAATTTCTGATAAATTGCTGAGTATAATATACATTATGGAATTGAAGTGTTTGCAGATAAGTAGGCAGAATTTGGATTCGCCAATTGACAATCACAAAGAGAAAAAAACGACCAAAAGAAACAGAAGACACCTTTTTCTATGGATGCGCAACTTCTTCTTTTTTATAATATAGGAAGTATTAATAATTATCTCTTTATGCATTTTTGTTATTTCGGTTGTTTATTTATTTGGAGCCAAATTTTTTTTGCTAATGAGTTCAAAAAAGGCCAAAATGTAAACACATAAAAGAAGTTAAATCAGTTCAACGTTATAGGAAACAATTTTACTTATATATAAATTGTGTAATTCTTTTTGAAAGAAATTTAAATGAACCCTTCAGAGTTTAGGTTCTTATATTCATATACACTTTTTCTTAAAGAATACTTACTTTAATAAGATTATTCAAGTTAATTTAAAGATAAAATGTCAAACTTCTATATCATAATTATACATGATAGTCAGCTTTTTTTAAAAATCAATTATTATATTGTATATACACACTCTATAATAATATTTAATTATAGCTGTTAAAAGATCATCTAACAAATGATATAATTATAAAGAATATTAACCATATATTATTATCATCATTTTTATCGAAAATAGATATGCTACAGTAATTTTGTTCATTGAATAAAATATCTCTTGATATCGCTACTTAACTTTACCATATATTTTATTGTTTTATCTGTTAAATTCACTTTAAAATAGCATTTTCAATTGTTTTTATCGAAAATAGATCTACTATAGTAATTTTGTTCATTAAATAAAATATATCTCGATATATCTACTTAAATTTACCATATATTCTGTTGTTTTATCTGTCAAATTCGCTTTAAAATAACATTTCCAACTTTTGTTCCTTTTTGAGGCTTTATCATATTATTTTATTTTAAAGGTATAAGACTATTATATACCAAAAAGGGAAATTCTTTGAAAGTAACAAAATAGACATGTGTTCAAATAGAGAATGTTTAGTCTTGGAAGTTGCTTTTTTTTTTTTTATGGTGTTTGCTTCATGACATATATTAACATATATACTATAAAAAAAATCCCAATTTTTGAAAAAAACTTTTTAAAAATATGTAGAATTATTTTTGGAAAAATATAGGTACAAATTTCTAAGAAATATTAATACAAATTACTAATTTGACAAAATTAATGAATTACCTTATTGTAACTTGTCCTAGGGTTGGAGGGTGTGGAGAACATAACCTTAGACAGAGGAGTGTGGAAGACGTATATACTAGGGTAACAGTAGGGGCGGACCGACATTAAGCAAGGGTATCAAGCGACACCGCTTCGTCAAATTTTTATAACAAAATGACACTAATTGACAAAAGTAATCTAATGGTGTGATGGTTCATTGTTTGCTATTGATGTTTGAGGTTCAAATGAAATGTGGTTAAGTAGCATTGAACTCAAGACATCTTTTAGTTTAAACCTAATCTATAAGCCATAAGCATATTTTTGCAAAATAAAACCATGCTTAAAAATACGGTTAAGTAGTATTGAACTCAAGACATCTTCTAGTTTAAACCTAATCTAAGCCAATGAAACAAGGATATAACTTACTTTAAAATATGATGGTTAAATCTCCTTCTATATATAAATATCGACAATAGTTACTTACTCAATCGATTGGGTAGAAAGTTAGTAGGTATTCAAGTTGTTAGAATATGCACAACGGAAGCTATATTCAGGATCACAAATCTTACATATAGACTAAACAATATAACATAAACGAGTTTAGAAGAATACTAACCTGTTGAATCTTCCACAAAAGTCGTCCAGATGCCAAGGATCCAGAGCTACGATCTTCTCCTATTTCCTGATTGACTGTTACTACCAAGATACTTGTGTGGGCAAGTATTATTTGTTTTTCAAAGATAATTCCTTTCATGCCACATCCAGCCTATTTATCTAGTTTTCCAACTCAAGAATGAATAGGAAAAACGTCCAAATAAATTTCAGGCTTAATGTGCAATCAAAAGGATCATGAGAATCAATTGAGATAAAAAACGTTTTCATCCATTAAAGGCCAAACGGTTTTGTAATAAGAACAAAAACGTTTTCATCCATTTAAAGGCCAAACGTTTTTGTAATAAGAACAAAAACGTTTTCATCCATTTAAAGGCCAAACGTTTTTGTAATAAGAACAAAAACGTTTTCATCCATTTAAAGGCCAAACGTTTTTGTAATAAGAACAAAAACGTTTTCATCCATTTAAAGGCCAAACGTTTTTGTAATAAGAACAAAAACGTTTTCATCCATTTAAAGGCCAAACGTTTTTGTAATAAGAACAAAAACGTTTTCATCCATTTAAGACCAAACGTTTTTGTCACTAACTCAATCTTTAACTCTCAAATAATTCATCCTTTAAAGAAGATCAACAATAAAATTAATTTGTCCTTCTTTTCAAACTTGGTCAATTAATCAGGCATAGTAGGGACCGTAGATATATTTAATAGAGGCTTCCAATTACGATAATAATTCTCAAATGAACGAATTAACCATATCGCAATAAATTACAAAGTATTCCACTAAAATTCTGTAATTGCACTCCTCAATTTAATTTCGAAATCTACCACTACATCTTATTTAACCCCCCGTGTTAGAATTACCGACACCAATCAATTAAATCAAAATTATCTGAAAATTTAATTCATTGACTAAATTAATCCTTTATTATATTTACTTAACTTATTTCACGTGACGGATCTAAAATCCACCTGCAGGGTTTTCACGTGAAAACTTATAAGTAATCATAAAGGGGTGTCTTCAACTCGGGTCCGAGACACGGTTCTATCAACTAATTATTATTTCACTAATGTAATTTGTCATTATCTAATCTATTAGGAATTTATTGACTCATCAAAAAGTCTCACCTTTTAATAGATTAAAACAATAAAATAAATTACATAGATCATAATAATTATATCAAGATTGAGAGTATAAATACATGTAGTGGACTAGAGAATTTATTTATAAATATTCAGAACATAAACAAATGTCTCTAATTGGTCCGTTCAATACATACAAAATGTACTAGCACAAGAAGTTGAATTTAACCATTCTCATAATTAAGATCAAATTATATTTAATCTTGTGCTACGATCATCAAGATGTTCGTCCTACTTCATCTTTGATCGTGAACATAAATTTATAACTTATATGCACCAACAATTTTAATCTTCCGTGTATGAGTTAAAATACTCCATACACAAAATTGTCTACTATATAAGCAATGGACACACATATATACATAATGATCTATTTAAACAAAAATTTATTATATTAAATAAATAACATAAAAAAAATCTTTACAAGGGATTAAATAAAAAATACTATAACACAATTACATGGTTAATAGTATATCCCAACACAAGTGTTGTCTTGTTTTCGAGGGCTTAGGCTTGTTGAAATTTATCGTTGTACTAATCAGATTATCGTAGTGTTTGCTTTTGATATCTATCATTGTTTGTCGTCTATTTTTCTTCGATTATCACACTATTTTGTTGCTCTTATTTCTTTCTTATAGGCTTTGCATTGTTTCCCTTGTCAGTTATTATGTTTTCTACATTATTATTATTTTTTAATTTGTTGCATTTTAGCTTAGAATCTTTCAAAAATAATTTTCTTACCTCTACCCGCTCGCTCTACTAGATAATAATAAGCTTAGATATATTATAGAATTTCACTTATTGTTGTTGTTACCTTATTGTGATTTGTACTATTATTCGAGGTGGGGCCAAATTTTACAAATAAAAAAAACAAAGTTGAAGTAACGGCTAGTTCTAGTAAGTATTAAATTTGAACGTACGACCAATATATATTGTGATGCCAAAGAGGCTATACTTTTTGGATTTACCACGTCGTTGTCTACTAGTCATGTATGTTTTATGTTGTATGTATATAATACAAAGAATGTTTTAAAGTTTTCTTTTCTTTTTTCTTTTCTACTATATTAGAAGCATGAGTAAAACAGCTTGGTATCAACATGCTTGCTTGTTGGTCATTAAAATTTAACTCAAGGGCAATTTTGACTTTTTACTACACTTATACATACGTGTCTTTCATCCTCCATTGAAAAGCCACGTAAGATATGACTTTCCTATTTTTCTTTTTTTCTCTAGATCTTCCATATCCCTAGAACTTGAGTAATTGTGACAATTTTCTCAGTTAATTTCTAGGTTTAAGTTTGGCATAATACATAAATGTGCCCTTTTACTTGATCTTATTTCATATTTATACCCTTCAAATTTGGGTGTGCACAAATAAACACTTTAACTTATATAAAGTTGAACAAGAAGACATATGAGTCTTATGTGGCATAATACACATAGGACATCACGTAGGATGAAAATTGTCGTGTAAGATGTCACGTAGTACGTATGTGCTATTTGTTCAACTTTATACAATCTTAAGTGTCTAATTGTGCACACCCAAGTTAAAGGGCATAAATGTGAGCAGATATTTGAGTATTATGCCTTTAAGTTTTATGTGCTTATGATTTTATGGCAGTAGAGATATTTTGCCAACACACAGAATGATCGACGGTGATTCACTGATTTGTTTATCCACCGCTTTAATAGAGATTTGATAGAAACTCTGAAAATGGAGTATGTATTTTCTAGGTATAGCTTCTTACTTATGATGTTGTTTGTTGAATTATATTGAGATTATACTTAGAGAAACAGAATAATCGAAATCAAGAAAATTCTCTGACTTGAAAATAAAAATCTATAGATTTTAATTGTTTTTTATGGAAAATTAGAGGTAATTGTGTTTGGAGGAATCCATTCGAGTTCTACATTTGGCTGAATTTGTCACGATCCGATTTATCAAGTCATGATGGCACCTACTATAACCCACCAGCAGGTAAGCCAACCCGTAACCCGGAACAACAAGTAATGGGTCTGAGGGTAGAAATTAAACAAGAGTAGGCAAATAACAATATAAACAGGCGGAAGCAACACAAAAACATATATACAAATAAAGATCCCTCCCAGAACCTGGAAGTCACCAGTACAGAGCTACTACAAAATGAGTACAAGTCC